CCTGAAACGTTAGCCTTCCTGCTCCTCTGATGCTGCTTGGCCTGCTGTGTTCATCCAGGTCTACACCTTGTTATCTCAGATTCTCCAGCATCTGCAGTTCCTACTATTTCTGAGCTCAGTTCTTCTGCCCACATGAAGATCACATTGAGTGTACACTGATCCTTCCCTTCCCTGGACTGGATGCTGATACCACTTGTCCTCACTCTGTTGCCACTCCAGACAACGTCAGCACAAACTAGACTTCGGTCTGGGCCCCTTACAGATGTGCAGCTCCGTTCCACATCGGGCTGAGTATTTAGCTAACAGCCACTGAATCAAGATCACCTCTAGCAGCCTTCCATCAAATGAAAGGGAAAGATGTTCTAAAGTCTCCTTCTCGCCCCCGGCCACTGAATCTATTGAAGCTACAGAACCACCACAAAAGCAGACACCTCTTCTTCTCTGTCATTTGTAATTGTTCATCCTGCATCAGTCAGTAATGCACAGAATCTCACACACAATGTCTCACACAAACACTGACACCCACTAGCCTGCAGTGATGTGCTTCACAGGTAAACTCAGCAATGTCTCCCACTACCCCTGGCATGAAAATGAGGGTGATATATCTTGCTCACGTAAATGGGCTAACATGCAAGATATCGAAAGGCTTGTTCAACAATTAAACCACAGGCAAAATGGATCACAAAATTCTTTATTCAAATTGGCTGAACCGGTTACCCAGTAAAAAGGACAAAGAATTTTCACCGTGTTCTGTGTCCAGCTGGTCTGCTTTCAGACTTGAATAATTGAGTGCTCCATTCTGCCTGTCCTTTTTAATTGATCAATTGCTGAGAGGAAAAGGTAATTCACCTGCTCTGATATTCTTCAGATCAAACTGACTGAGCTGAACAAACACTGGAGGTTGGCGGGGGTGGGTGGAGAGGGTAAACATAGTTACCCCTTCCGCACCCACATAACTTTCAATCAGCCCCATCTTCAAAATATACAATGACCCTTCACCACCTGTAAAATAAATAATTACCCCTCCCTTTAAAATAAATAATTACCCCCACATGTAAAGTGTACAATTACACCCCTCCATATATTTTAAATATAGAAATATCCCCTCCCCAGCTTTAAAATATACAATGAAACCCCCCCCGTGAAATGTACAATTGCACCTCTTTCTATAAACAAATATCCCCCTCTCATCTTGAAATTTACAATTAACTACCCCTTCTCCCTGCGACATACAGAAATGCCATCTCCCCACCTGTGAAATATACAAGTACGTGAGCTCCAGAAGTGAGTACATTACAATAAATAAGATTCAACCCTGTGTCTCTTGAGAAACTAATTGCGATTTTTGGCAACAGAAATGAGGACAATTCTTTTCAGGTAGTTTCAGTTTGAGATATGGATACATTTTCACTTTTGAACTTGACCTTCTTCAAATGATTTATAGTTGATTTTTTTTAATTTGATGGATGATTTTTTTTAATTTGATGGAGAATTTTTTTTCAATCAATGGATCACATTCTTCACTCAGCCCCCACTCCCCACACAACTCATTTCATCTTCCTGACAGACTCACAATACATTGCACCATCTTTTCAAAGATGCTGGAGATACTGTTTTTTACTGGGTAACCGGTTCAGCCAATTTAAATAAAGAATTTTGTAATCCATTTTGCCTGTGGTTTAATCATTGAACGATGCTTTCGATATCTTGCACCTTAGCCCATTTACGTGTGCAAGATATATCGCCCTCATTTTCATGCCAGTTTATAATCACAATGCATTTCAAAGTGCTTGCTCCAGGTCATTTATGTTGCTTGACAGAAGCAAAACTTCTTTGAAATTGTTCAAATGGATTTTGTTTTAAATCATTCATGGAAGGTCAGCATTGCTGGGTAGGGCGGTCTATGTTGCTCATCCCTAATTGCCCTTGAGTTGGTGAGTTGCTTTCTTGAACCATTGCAGTCTCTAGGCTGCTGCCAGGGAGAGAGCTTTGACCCAGCAACACTGAAGGACACTGCAAATTGGTCGCTGCAGATACAGTGTGAGCACTGAATCTATTCAACATACAGACCCCATCGTACACCTGCTAGTCTGTGCCTGGTCCATACCAGTGTCAAGTGAGGCCTCATCACAAAAAGCACAAAGCAAGAAAAGACAAGCTATAGATTTTCTTGCAGTGGATCATTACATGATGCACCTGGTTATCCAGCCTTTATTCCTCAACCTTCAGCTCAACTTGTGCTCCAAATTATGGGAATGTGAGCTGACTCACTGGAAAATGGTGACTTTGCACACTTTTCAGTGTGCTGTTGTATTCCTGTACTTGTGTACACCTGACACTGAAATCTAATTCTAATTCTGACTGGCGCATTGAGGGCATCTTGAACTTTACTGAATGACAGCAATCAAGAATTTATCTTCTCCACCAGAGCAATTTAAGGCTAGAAAAAGAAAGCAAGGAATCACAGAAGGAATTATTCTGAATTGGAATGAAATCGGGGACAGAAAGAGAAACAAAGAGAGAGAAAGAAGAGATTAGACGATGAGAAATGATAGGAAAGGAAAGTGTGATTTAAAATTCAAGTTTTAAAATCCTTTAGAAACAATTTTCTACCAACAGGAATGATTCTTCAGCTTCACTTGTTTTTTTTCTGAGCTGGAGACTGTGAGCGAGATTACAGAAAAATAAAAGTCCTTATTAAAAACCTGCCTTAGTTGGAAAGCCCAGCCCTAACTTTCTGCAGTGGTTTCAAATGGAAACAAGTGTGCACATTGAACAATTTCTCAAACTCATGGAGGTTGAAAACAAGCGGTGGTATTCATGAGGCCAACACATGCTCTTCAGAAACTTGCACTGAGTTTATAATTCCCAATGTATCTCTTCCTTGTCAAAAGTTGCTGGATGATTTACACATTAATAATAGTGTTCCAATTAATGCACTGTATTTTGGCAACAAATTCTGAGCAGGATAGTGTTTGAGATAGTTATATAGTCCCTGAGATGGGTAGACTTCACATTTAGGGCTGAATCATTAACTTTTTAAGACTGGGGAGGACAAATTTACACATTCATAATCAACCTATTCCAAAGAAGAGAGGTACCGGACTTGAATTATTAACTCTGTTCTCTCTCCAAGATGCTGCCAATACCTGCTGAGTTTCTCCAGCACTCTGTTTTTATTTCAAATCTTCAGCACTTTACTTTTACTTGATACTCAATTGGTATAGCGTTGTGCATATACCCTTCCTTGGACATTGGCTTCTGGGATGACCTTCTAGATCAGAGACAGGGAAACTATCCATTGTACCAGAAGACCTCCCATAAGCAGACAGTTGGTCAGGTTAAATAACTACTAGTGAATTTAAACAAGATGCAATCTTTACACTTAGCAATGCTAGTTTACAACTAGTAAAGGTACTGTCCTTGAATTACTTGCCTGTATATTTTACCTACCCACAGTAATATTATAAATAACGTATACACATTTCAGTGTTGATTACTAATTAGGATGATATTAAGAGGAGAATCTAATTAGAATTGTCAATACCAGCCCAAAATGGCCATGTCTCCTGTACAACAAAAGGGGAGGCTTGACCTACCTGTAGGTTTTTTTTCAATGTAAGCGCTCAGAGGGAGACTGAACCTGTCTATAATTACACTATAACGTAGGTACACTCTAATGTAGGTACACGACAACATTACACAATAACATCACTATACTAGGACATTACACTATAGCATAATGACATGAACATTACTATAATGTAACTACATTATAACGTTACACTAAAACATAACTATGCTGTAACATAGACACTGTATAACGTAGGTACACTACGACATTACACAATAACAACTACATTAGAACTTTACACTATAGCATAATGACATGAAAGTAACTATACTATAATGTAACTACATTATAACGTTACACTAGAACATAACTACACCGTAACATGGGTACTGTATAAGTGCTCTTTAACATTACACAATAACATAACTACACAATTACATCACACTATAACATTACTATAACTTGACTACAGTATAATATTACACTAGAACATAATTACACTAGATCAAGGCCCATTCACTTTCTGGATCACCTGTAAGGTCGTCAGAGCTGTCTGTGATGAAGAAAATTTAAGAATTGGGAATGAAAGGACAGGAGGCAAAGTATTTAGCACGGGGTGGTCAGGCTATAACATTCACTCTATGATAAGCAGCTGCTGTTTGGAGCGAGCTAGCTGCTGGACATGTTAAACACTGCTTCATCTCCCGGGCCCTGGTGTTCACTGGAGCCTGGAAACAGGTCAGATTCCCCCGAAGTGGTTTTTGTTGTTGTTGACTGAGACCCAAGACTGAGATCGGACTTAAACGTATTGGGGTGGGGGGATACTCTGGAGCTCTTTCCATCAATCTCTGACCCACGACCTCGGGGTGGGGGAGCTGTGTCTCACCTGCGGCGGTGAGGAGAGGGCACCATAGCCTGGCATTGCCCTCCTGGTCTCAGAGGGGCACATCACTGCCAACTGGGGGTGAGGGGGGGGGGGGGTGAGGATAACACAGAATCTGAGAGAAGGGAAGACATCCCAGGGAAAGTTGAACAGGCAGGGGGCAGGGAGAACACAGAAGAGGTTAAATCTCCTGTTTGACCCCGGTCCCACAGAAGCTGGGGTTGGAGATCCTACACGAGGAGAATTTTGTTTTTTTTAATTAAAAAGAACAGGTAGAAGTTACCTGGGAGGTTCCAGAGCATCTCCCTCGCCTCCCCCTCTTACCTGCCACTGTGAAGCGATCCATATAATTCACCACGTAGCCGAAACTGAGCACCCCGGCGGCGATGTGCGGGCGCAGGCGATACAAAGCCCGGAATTTCTCCGCCGGGCTGAACGGCGTATCTGCGGCGGAGGCAGAGGAGGAGGGAGCGCCGTTCAGGCTCCGGATCTCGTCCGAGGAGCCGGAGAGGGGACAGTCTGATGTCTCTTTCTCCACACACATATTCCCAAAGGAGAGAGGTCTGGGGCTGCAGGAGGGGGGGTTGGGGAATGGAGTTGGGGTGGAGGTGATGTCGGTTTCAGGGTAACTGATGTCAGTTTCAGTGTAATTGATGCGGAGCTCCGCAGAAATATACATACACACACACACACACTACACCACTCAGAGAGAGAGACACCAAGGGCGGAGATAAAACTGCATTAGCCCCTCCTCTCAAACAACAAAACAGCGTGTTGCCGCCCCAATAAACAACCCCACGCAGATCAGCACCCTCCCTCTTTTTAAAACGCACCACCAGTCTCCCTGAAACCCCGAGAAGAGGCACCTTTGCACTGACTGCCCTATTATTCCCAAATGCTCTTGCCCTCGGCTCCTTCGTTATCGCTCCCCTGAAATCTGGCTCCAAAAAGAAAATATTGCGGATGCTAGAGCTTTCGAACAAACACACACGGAATGCTGGACAAACTCAGCAGATCTGGTGGAGTCTGTGGACAGACAGACAGAGACACAGAGTTAACCTTTGGAGTCTGATATGCCCCTTCTTCAGAATAGTGACCGGTGGGTCTACCAGTGTCCCCCTGTCTCAGACCACAAGGCTCAAAATTATCCCCTCATTCAGCTAATTAGTGAATTTAAATCTGTAACATATACACTGCGTCAGATCTGTTTAAGAAAACCTTCACGATTATACTTCCTTCAATATTTCATTTTAAATTTGTAAATAACCCAGTTCATTTGACCAATTGTAACTTTATGGGTTTGAAACTCGCTCGCATTTAAACGCAGAGATAACAAGGTGTAGAGCTGGAGGAACACAGACGTCTCTTCAGCCTTCCTCCTCCTCTGATGCTGTTTGGCCTGCTGTGTTCATCCAGCTCTACACCTTGTTATCTCAGATTCTCCAGCATCTGCAGTTCCTGCTATCTCTGAACGCATTTAAACGCAGTTTGTTAGGAATGTATAGTTTTTCACACAAGAGGGTGGTTCCTATATGGAGTGGACTCCCAGAGGAAAAGTGGTAGATGCAGGTCCAGTTACAACATTTAAAAGACATTCGTACAGGTACATGGATAGGCAAGGTTTAGAGGGATATGGGCCAAAGGGAAGTGGGATTACTTTAGTTTGGGAAACTTGATCGGCGTGGACAGGTTGGAATAAAAGGTCTGTTTCTGTGCGGCTGGACTGTATGGCAGATTTGCCACCCGCACTCTATACACTTTTCTGTTACCGTTTCTTAGAAATTCTTTTTCAGTTTCTCACTTGTTTCTGAGACACTACCTTTCTCACCAGGAGCTGAAGTCGAAGACGAATATTCGGAAATTGTTCCGAATTATGGAAAGGGAAATGAGAGTTAAACTCACATGATGGTAATTGTCAGAGATGTTTTGATACGCAGCTCTCCAAAAGTTGACATTTCCCAGAGTTAAAACGTGGTCCTGTTTGAGTCAAAAAACTGTGAGTGCAAGTCCCACTCCAGAGATATGCGCAGTCCTGCAGGGAGTGCTGCACACTCCAG